GTTCCGCCCTGGCCCTGGTGAGACCCTACAGAGCCCTGGTTTAACCAGGGCTCTGTGGGGTCTCATCAGGGCACTAAGGGGGTCTCATCAGGGCACTAAAGGGTCTCATCAGGGCTATGTGGGGTCTTACCAGGGCTCTGAAGGGTCTAACCAGGCTGTTGAGACCCCACAGAGCACCGGTGAGACCCTACGGAGCCCTGGTGCTGGTGAGACCCTATCTCGCCCTGGTGAGACCAGACAGAGCCCTGGTGAGACCCCACAGAGCCCTGGTGAGGCCCTGGTGCTGGTGAGAACCCACAGAGCCCTGTTTTAAACAGGGCTCTAAGGGGTCTCACCAGGGCCCTAAAAGGGGTCTAACCAGGCTGGTGAGACCCCACATAGCCCTGGTGAGACCCCATCTCGCCCTGGTGAGACCAGACGGAGCCCTGGTGAGACCCCACAGAGCCCTGGTTTAACCAGGGCACTGTGGGGTTTCACCAGGGATCTGAGGGGTCTAACCAGGGTGGCGAGAGCCTACAATGCCCTGCCGAGACCCTGGTTTAACCCCAGAACCATGTTGGGACCCTACCCTGGTGGGCTCTTTGGGATTTGACCAGGGCTCTGTGGGGTCTAACCAAGCTGATTAAATCAGGGCTTTGTAGGGTCTCCCCACGGCTCTGTGGGGTTTCGCCAAGACTGGTGAGACCCCCACAGAGCCCTGCTGAGACCCCCACAAGGCCCTAGTTTAACCAGGGCTCTTTGGGGTCTCACCAGGGCACTGAGGGGTCTAACCAGACTGGTGAAACCACACAGAGCCCTAATTTATTCAGGGCTCTGTGGGGTCTCACCAGGGCTCTGCGGGGTCTCACCAGCCTGGTTAAACCCCACAGAGCCCTGGTAAGACCCCACAGGCCTGAGTGGGGCCTCATGTTTAGGTTTTGCCTAAGGCCTCGCAAACTCTAGAGCCGCCTCTGCAGAGATATAGATCCCTTTTATGGGGTGTGTGTATATACACTATTTTACCTTGTTGTCTTTCCACTGTTGTACTCTTCTGTGCAGGCTTTCCCTGATTGCTGTATCTCACCCAGATGCCTTGGCTTTTTGCTGTGAAATGTTTGCATGTTCTCCCTGTGCTTGCCTGGTTTTTCTTCAGGTACTCCAGTTTCCTCCCACACTCCAAAGACATAATTGCAGGTTAATTGGCTCCTGTCTAAATTGCCCCTTGTATGTATGCATGTGAGATGAGGAACCTTAGATTGTAAGCTCCGTTAAGGGCAGGGACTGATGTTATGGTGCACTATGTAAACGCTATGTAAATTGTCGGCACTACATAAATACCAATCATAAATAAGTAAATGTCCATCACTCTCTGAGAACAGGCTGCTGCGATGGCATGTATGAAGGGGGTTTCTAGCATTGGAACCAACACTACTGATAAGCCACAAACAGCCATCCTATTAAATGCAGCCCGTCAATGGTCAGCCACTGTTATTGTTAGCCTCAAAAAACATCATGGATGCAGAGCACTTAGAGCCTGCTGCTTTTACAATCATGTTGCCAGTGTGGAGGTAATTTGACATGCAGTGTGAGAATCTGAGGGCTTTTTCCTAGGAATATTGCAGAGGACCAAAGCTCTGAAAAAAGATTAAATGAGGTGGGAACACAAGTGATGCCCATCTGGAAAGAAAAACCTGATAGCAAAGAAATGTGCATCAGTGATAGATTCTACTGGGAGAAATAGTAATTTTTATGTGCAGAAACAGCAGGATAGAGCACCACAAGACTTTATTGAGATTAGCACATTAAAGCAGAAGAAAAGTCTTGACTGTTTGCTTAGTTCTAAGTGATCAATCTTAGACTATAAGGGGGCTATTCACAAAGCTGCTGAAGGCAGCCGAGTGAATAACGCAGCCGAAGTGGAGTGAGCCGAACGCTGTTTGGCTATTCACTTCCGGCTTGTAGGGCTGATTTCACCCATACATCGGCTGCCTTCTGCTGTACTTCGGTCAGCCGAACATGCTCTGCATGTTCGGCTGAGCCGAAGTGCAGAAGGACTCCAACTCAGATGATCCAACATCGGCTGCCGTTCGCCCTGATTCTCGTAGAGGCCGAATGGCATTCTGCTCGTCTATTCTGCTCGGTACCTCTGTTGTACGGCGCAGAATAGAAAATCAGTGAAAAGAGTTTTTAAAAAAAAGGTTGAAAAAATATTTTAAAAATATAAACAAGTAGTAAAAGTAAAAAGTAAACAAAGATATTTGGGGGGAAAAAACAGAAAAAAAAACAATTGGGCGGAGCTAGCAGTGATGTCACGGCCGGCTCCGGCCAGTTGTTATTGTTTAATGACAGTTCAGCGTCCCCAGGTCATTTGCTGGGCTCCACCCAGCTGTCATTTCCAGAGCTTACGGCCGGCCTTCGGCAGACCGTTCGCCCCGCTTCGGCTGTCATTTCGGCTCCGTTAGCCAAAGCATATGCCTTTGGCATATTGTGAATAGCCTGTAAAGCAGCCCTTCGGTTCGAGTGATCCGAAGGGCACCAGGGGCCAAAGAAAGCCGAAGGATCAGCCTAAGCTATGGCTGGATACTTTGTCTCCTTCGTGAATAACCCTGAAGCATTTTGTAAATGCTTTGTTATAAGGGCCTTAGGATTAAGTGGGGTCCCACGAAATGTGCAAGGCTTTTCTTCTGCTGTAATGTGCTGAGTTCAGTAAAGCCTCCCAGTGCTCTACCTTGGTTGTGGGCTATTATTTCTGCACATATTTAACATACAGTTCACCAAGGCTGGAGGGCCTGTGAGCAGGAGAGAAAGTGGTTGCTGGCCAGTCCCCTGGCAGCAACAGCAATGTAATGTGTCATTTGTTTGCAATTAGATCTACAGTATCTACAGCTTATATTAATTGACTTACATTTATGGCAAGCTGTGTAATATTAAAAAAAATCATAAACGCAATCATTTGTTACATATTTGCTGAAGAATGTGTAGGAATGAAAATAATGTAACATTCATGAAGAGAAAGAACTAGAATATTATAAAGTCACAGATTAGATACGGCTTTGAAAATAAATGGTGAGAGAATTTTCAGATGATTTGCCATAACCGTAAATAGTCTGTTTAAATGAATAAAGTCTTTGTGTAATGTTTCTGTTTAAAAATGCTGAACGTTTAACTGGGGTCAGTTATTTGTTTAGCCACAATGATTAGATTTATTGAACTGAAGATGTATGTTACTGATATGGCAAACCCAGGGACAAAATGTTTTTATATCATCTTCCCCACCAGCACTAGTACTGAGAAAAATAAACACATTTTCTTTAAAAATGACATTTTAAGTAGTGTAATGCTTACTTTAATCTATGTCCTCTACTTCCTGTTTTTGGCAGCATGGTGTGACATTCCCTTGTAGTATGGAGTGGCAATGGTGCATAGATCAATGCTGGCTATCCATAGAAGGGAGCTGCGCTGATCCCGCTGGTGGACTTTTGAAGCAGGCATAAGAGACTGGGCCACAGGCTCCTTTTAGAATAGTACTACAAACTGGCACAGTTGTGTGGTTCAGATCCAAAACACCTCTTGAGGCCCTCAATGTTGTTGAATAAGGATGAGTAAATGTGTCTAAGTGAATTCTGAAAACTGAACCGTACTGAAGTATATGGGGGATGACAATCCATGATAATCAATTCTGATCATTAACTAATAGTCAAGTTGTTTTGCCAAAAAAGAAAAATTAGGAGCTGGTTACTGCCATGTGGGACATTAATGCATGAAAAAATTAGATAAAAATGACATACAGGGGGGGGAGTGTCCCCCTGTAAACGTGAGCTTTAAGGATAAATCTTTAAATTATGTGCTTTACTAAAGGAGATACTTTTATGCAATATATAATGCTACCAAACAGTAGGATTTTCACAGACAGCGTCAGTGACAGCATATTCTGGCATCATATATTTTGGACATGAAATGGATTTTCTATCTCTTACTTCTAGCTTGGCTTAACCACGAGGAGCAGTATGTTAAATCCCCTTCATGCCCAAGCTATTTTTTTAGTTTTTAGTGCTGTGATAGTTTGACAAATACCTGGTCATGCAATAGCGCACCCAAATTAATTCAATATAATTTTTTTGAGACAGATAAAGCTTTCTTTTGGTGGTATTTAATAACTGGGATTTCAAAT